TATTTTTGAAAAGATTTTTTTTTTTTTGAAAATATCCTTTTTTTTTCTTTTCTTATATAAGAAGTAATATTTTTCTTTTTCAATTTTGAAGAAGGGAGGAATAATTTTCTCAAAACCATATTATTCACAGCACGATCCAAGTTCATTTTGACTTTCAAATCCTTCTGATTTCATTTTGGTCTTAAGTTTGAGATCATTACATGATGCTAACTTTCCTTATTGACGAAATTAATAATTTCCCCATAAGTTAGAAGAGCATATGGAATGGTATCATTCAGTTGAAGTTTACTAACTCTTTTTGCAAAGTTTAGGAAGTCCAAAAATAAACATTTCTTTCCAAAAAGATTGATTGCAGTCGTCACGACTTAGGACTCTGGTCATAAACATATCTTTATACCAACGAAAATCATGAAGTTTTGGACAAGTAAGATTCATTTGAATTTTAGAAGATCTCTCATGAAGTAAATTAGGAGTTTCAATGAGATGTTTGAGAATTGAATAAATAAGAGTATTAAACATATCAGCGTTTCCTTGAGAATCATTGTAGTTATTCTATCTTCTGTGGTCAAATAATTATTCCACCAATTTTTTAATTGTTCGTTGAAACGTTGGACTAAGTTTGATATAGAATCATAAGCAAATCTACCTTTATCAATATAAGCAGCATAGCAAACTACCATATTTTCAGGGAAATTAATAATTTGATATTCTATCATACCATCGAGATTCTATTCAACTAGTTCATCACTGGTATAGGCAACTTGATTCTTCTTTTCCTCATAACACATTTCAGGATAAGAAGGACAAGAATAATAATTTTGGAAGGTTTGAATTTTGACTTCTCAATTTATTGATAAAATTTTTTTCATTCTCAATAAATTGATTTTCAAGATTATCAATATCATCTATCGTATTAAAATTTTTAGAGGGTGCCAATTTTGAAATTTGTTTTGCAAGTTCTTGTAAAGTACTGGATTCATTAGACAAAATGTTTTTACCCAATTTTGGAACAAATTTTGACTCTATAGGTTTGAAAATAAGAGGCTGCCTTTCATCTTTCTTAGATGAAGAAACCTCAGAATTAGAATTAGCTTCTATTCTGGATAATTGAGAACACATAGATTAAATAACAATATTAGTATAATTGTTCTCAAATTGAACAATTTTGATATCTTTAGCTGTAGTCTCAGATTCTTTTGATCTGTCAGCTCAAAGTTGTTTGATAGGAGATACAATTATTTCAGTATTTCCATGGGAAACAACTATTCTTGCATCGAAGGATGTTCATATTGAAAACTTTGACTCGAAGGAGTTCTCCATGTCTTTTTATTAACATGGGTATTTTGAATAGAATATTTTAACATTCTTTTGCCAAAAATTTTGAAATGTTCCCATTCATAAAAACTTAAATTTTTAGGAAAATCATAAAATTCATCCCACAAAGATTTGATTTCTTCTTTTAAAAACATTGATCGAATAGTTTTTCGAAAACATTTGACTGAAGGAGTTTGACCAGTTTTAAATCCATTTTTTTTCTATCTATAGTAAAAGAAATGACATTACATTGCTAATCCAACCTTTCGGCAGGATTTGGAAGCATATAAGATAAAGTTGGTAAACCTGGCTCTTTTGATTCATCGTCTTTATCAGATGCGTATTGAGTTTTTGGAATATTTGGAGTAAAATTAATTTCTTTTAATTTGTTTGAAGAGGTTGAAAATTTAGAATTTTGACAAAAAATTCTCAGATCTATTCCAAGATCTAGAAGAATAAGATGTTTGAAGATTATTTGAAGAAGAACCTCTGTCAAAAATAACTTTGACATATTCATTAGGAAATGAAATAATTTAATCTGAGATTGATCTAGTGGGAACAAAAATTGGAGTTTGAGCATTCTCAAAATTCCATGCAAGTCTTCTGGATTGAAGATTCTATGGTATCCTGTAGAATGAAGAGGATTGACCTCCACAAGAAAACTTTCTTCATATTGAATTGAGTGTTCATAAGATTATAATATATTCTATATATTACAGCAAATACTTTTGAACGATCATCCATATCAAGGTTTTTCGTTTAAATATGAAGATTAAGAGCATTCAAAATAGCTCTATCATTTAAATTGATAGTAAAATTTGGATAACAATTTGAAAAGATTGGACCACTTTCTAAATTTGATTCTAAAAGAGATAGTAATGAATTTTCAAATTTAAGAAGTTTTTTTTTTTTTAATCTCTGAGAGTTAAGAGAATATGAATGTCTAAACCAAATCGAAATAAAGGCTTGACAGCAATTTAAATTAATCTTACATGAAGATATTTAAACTTCTTCCTTTCAATTGAAAAATGATTTATTTGAAGATACTGATGCTTAATAGCAATCATTTGCTCAAGTGTTTTGATAACATAGTTTTGATGAAAATCAAACTTTCCTATTTCATAGATAGAACTTTTGTATACCTTTGGAATAGTCCAGTTATGTAATTTTTTTATTTTTTTTAATTTTTGCAATTTGAAGTTCATAAGAATTGAATGTATCTAATGCAAATGCATGATTTTGATCTATTTCTTCTTTATCATGAATATTGTTTGAAATATTTTCAAATCTACTACTAGATCTCCTAAACCAACTTAAAAACGAAAACATAATTAAATGAAAAATGAAATTATAATGAATTACTACTATAGATGCAATGCTACAGAATTGACTTACTCTTTGCAAAGACTACAATGGGACCACCCTAACATCTACCTCGCAACACGAGCTGACCAACGCTATTCAGCAGACATCCTTTCTTTCATCAGCTTTTTCCTTGACACGGTATGTATAATGAATAATCACTACAATCTCACCTCACTATCTTATGGCTCTGATACCAAAATAGGCCAAGGGATGCACACAAATTTATCATTTACTTGTAGAATTTTAATTCTCCAGTATATATTTATTACGATTCTTTTTGAATTATCAAGGTAAGTGTAGTCATGAAATGTAAGAATCTTTTTCATACTTTTAAATTACAAAATTCGATTGATGAATAAATATGAATTCTCTATGTATAAATTTAAGGGAATGGAGTTCAAATTATAGTCATCTAAGTTCAGTTTTTAATTCTCGTGTTTCCTTACACACTTTAAAAATATCTAATTTTAAATGTGAAATACGATTCATTTTGGCTCATTTATTGGGATTTTATCTCATTGTTTATAATTTTTTCCTTTTCAAGTAATTAAGGTTCAAGGTATTGGAGGTTGGAACTGACCGGTGGTGGTATAATAAAAAGGAGATGACTTATGAAATTTGAACAATTTGCTCAATTACTTTTATGATTAAATAATTGATTTCAGTTATTGTAATCTTGGGAAAAATTATGCTTTTTTATGAAATTTTTTATTTTACAATATTTGCTTAATGACTCCAAGGGAAAGTTTTGGATTGTTCCAGCTATTGCCAAAAGTATATGTCTCTCATCCCATTTTTACAAGAATTGAAGAAATACAAGCTAGACCAACAAATACGAAAAGTTTTTGCATGTACATAAGAAGCTCTACATTAATATCCATTAATCAAAGTGATACGACAGATTCTGGTTGTGCAAATTTTTTAAAGGATATGTTATCTAAGAAAGATAAAGCTTTCCAAATTTGATATTGTGCAGCTAACTGAGGAGAGTATTGTAAGATTGCAAACAAACTATCTCCCAAAAAAAGATCTATGGAGTTTTTCTTTATCAGTTTTAATTGGAAAAGCTTGATTTGTTACTGCTTTATATGATACATGTGCTAGTATTAACTTCATGAAAGTATACATAAATTTTGAATTAGGAGAAGTTAAAGCAACAACAATTGTCACTGGAGCTAGTTGATAAAACCATCAAATATATTTCGGGATAAGGTTGAAAATGAGCTCAACGGACAACAAAGTTCACATTCCGAGTGGATTTTATAATACTCGACATAGAAGATGATCATGATATTGCTGTGATCTTGAATCCTCCATTAGTCAACATGAGGAAATTTGAGCTGATCTTGATTGTGGATGATGTACAAGAAGTATTTAATATACACACTTATTCAACCTCTGGGATTGTTGTAGTAACATACATACTTATTCAACCTCAAGGATTGTTGTAGTGTTCATAAAGATGATTCACCTTAACAACGAATTTGTCCTTATAGAAGAGGAAGTGATGGAATTGTTGGTACTCTCAAATATTAAATCACTGATTGAGCCCCATTTTTCTGCCAAAATGAATTTTGAAACTAAAGTGAAGTCAATGACCCAATTGAGACAAATTCAAGTTTAGTAACCCAATTAATATGTTTCTGAAACCTCAGTGTCTGCATATGAAAATTTTGGCCATCATTAGATTTAATTGTTCCAATGGTCACTATACTTAGGTCCATATATTTGATTGGCCACTAAAATTTAAAATATCGAATTTTATCCACTAAACTTTGAAAAATGTCGAGTTTTGTTCATTGACCTTAGATTCAGTTCTTTGATTGATCACTGATGTTTAAAATGTCTAGTTTTAACCACTGAACATTGAAAAATGTCGAGTTTTGATCACTGAACTTAGGTTCATGTTTTCGATTGTTTACTGAAATTTAAAATGTAGTGTTTTGGCCATTGAATTTCAGAATATGTTGTATGTTACTTACTAGCATAAATATTGAATTTTGAAAAATATCCAATTTATGGTGATTAATGTAAAATATTTTTCAAAATTTAGTGAGTAATGTAAAATATTTTTCAAAGTTCAGTGAGTAATGTACAATTTTTTTCAAAGTTCAGTGGTCAAAATTCGATATTTTTAAACTTCAACGAGCAATTAAAGATATGGACATAAATTCAATGATCAAAACTCGATATTTTTCAAAGTTCAGTAGTCAAAACTTGATATTTAAAACTCAATTGTCAATCAAACACATGGACGTAAGTTGAGTGACCATTCTAACAATTAACTCCATCGTTACTTGAACAAGAAGACATAAAGCGATTCTTAAGATCCTCTATCCCACGAGCACACACGCATTATCGCGCAGAAAAACACAATTTCAGTGAATTATTGGAGATGGCGACGCCGATGGTAGAAGATAGCAACTTCGAGGATGATCAGCTCTCTTCAATGTCCACGGATGACATTATTCGGGCCTCCCGCCTCCTCGATAACGAAATCCGGATCCTCAAGGTTTTATTTATTATTATTATTATTTTTTTTTAAGAAGTACGATTGTGATTGATGATAAGTAAATGTTTGATTTTACGATGTTGATTTGGTTGTTGTTAATTGTGATCTTTATTTAGTAAATTATTTATTATTTTGTTTCTATAGGAAGAGTCGCAGAGAACGACTATGGAGTTAGATTCAATCAAGGACAAGATAAAGGAAAATCAAGAGAAAATTAAGCTCAACAAGCAGCTTCCTTACTTGGTCGGGAATATTGTTGAGGTATGTAATGAATTGGCTTTTTACTTCTCTTAAAGGGTTACTAATTGGGTGTTTTACATTCTACTGTTTTGATTTGGGAAAAATGAGAATTCTCGTGAATTTTGCTAGATTTTGCTATATATAGGGCATTTCTAGGATTCGATTTTTTTTTACTGTTTTGTAGCTCTCAATGATTAGGGGAACTCGTAGAAATTTAAGATTTCATTCGAGAAAGGGAAAAATTCTGTTGCTTATGGGTTTGACATGTAATGGTTCATTTCAAAATTGAGATGGTGGCTGTAGAGCTTATAATGGGGGAAGGGGGTCTTCTGTTGTAGAGGGGTCTATATTGCTGGCATGTACTAGAACACTTCGGGCCCGTGTGTATTTATTTATATCTTTCTAGCCTTTGCACTGAATGGCAGGGAAGCACAACATAATGATCTGAATAAGTTGTGAGGAGATGATGGCCGACTTTATGAGCATTTAAAGAAAATGAAAGCAGGTTATTGTAGAATAATTTTTATTACCTGATGAATTAGGTATAGTAGGACTAGTTACTGAATTGTCTTGTATTTTTATGAACCTGAGACATTGCCAATGGTTCCGAATGATTTGTAACAAACGTTATGCCATCTGCTTTCCTTGTAACTTATGATGCTTGAGACTTTAAATGTAACTCCCTCTCTCTTTGCTTCCCTTGAAGAAACCAAAAATAAAATGTGGTCATATAATACCAAAACAAATCCTGGAAAAAGCAAAATCAAAATTTAGTGATAGAGGGTTTTTCGACCACGTGTCTTCATGGTTGCTTATGTATTTGGGTGAGTAGCGGAATGCAAAAATAAAAAATAAAAATAAAATAAAATCATTGGAGGTAGGGAGGGATTCACAACTTTTAATATGTGTAATCAAGTCACATGCTTAAGGACACTGTCAACATTCTCATGGCTGAGCATGAGTGCAATGCTACTCTATCTGGTTTTGGCACATTGAATGCTATTATCATAATTATTTTCCGGGTTTTGACTCACTTTGAATGTCAGTACCCTCTACCTCTCTCTCCCTTTTCAATTTTTCACACACCAAACTAACAAGGGAAATAGTTCCAGGGGAAAAAGCTTGAAAGAAATCTCTGAGTCAGAACAGTTATGGATTCCTCTACAAAGATGTTAAGAGGTTCTTTGGATTAAAGTAGCAGTGACTTTCATGTTTATGACCTAGTCGTTTTGGATTTGGGGATCCGCGATTGCCTGGGAGCTGACTTTTTCAAGTCTATGGACATTTCAGGGCAGAGGGTACACAATAAGGAGACAAGAAAAAGAATGAGTGCATGAGAGAGAGAGAGAGAGAGAGAGAGAGTCCATACTTCATCGTATTTTTTGGTGTCAACTGATTGTTGTGTACCTTGAGTTTTTGACTATTGGGACTTAGTTTAGTCATTTAAAATAAAAGCAGATCCATCAGTAATTAGATAACAGAAACTTTTAAAAGTTCACTTATGGAGACGGGACTTTGCTTTGGGGTTGCTATGAAGGATTTTTTTTTTTTTTTTATAATTATTATTATTATTATTATTATTATTATTATTATTATTATTATTATTATTTATTTATTTATTTATTTGGAGGGACCACTGGATTGCTGGTAATACAGGGCATTTCATTAATATTCCAAAATGTGGATAAGAAGTGATTTTATTCTACTTGTCTAAAGAAACCTAGTTCTTTAGGCATGATGAGGCTTACTTGAGTTATTTCCCCCAAAAAATAATAATATAAATTATTTCTCCAAATAATAAATAAATAAATCAGGAAAAGAACATTATTTTTGTACTTGAGGGGAATTGAAGCTCTTCTATCATTCATATTCACAGGCTTTTGGCCGACAAGAATGCTGTAGTCTTTGAATTGTAGAAAAATCACATGTGTACTGCTATATTGCATACGACAATATTCTTCTGAAGTTTGCTTTCTATGTCTCTATTTAGTTTAGTTTAAGCTGGATGTATGTTAGTTGTCTTGCTTCGAAGTTCAAGTAATGCACTTTATTTGGTCCCCATAATAAGTTTATTGGTGACTTCTACAGTACTTTGAAGTTGGTAACAATTCAAGTATTGTTCATTTAATATTCTTATAATCTTGATTTGTAAAATTTTCAGATATTGGAAATGAACCCTGAGGATGAGGCTGAGGAAGATGGTGCAAATATTGATCTTGACTCACAAAGGAAGGGTAAATGTGTTGTGCTAAAAACATCTACTCGTCAGGTAAAACTAGCTTCTCTTCATGTGGCTCTCTTTCTTTGTCTTTTCCAACCCTTCCTTGGTCTACGTTTTATGTTCCCAAGATTCATTTCCTTTCTTCCCCCTTTTGGTTTGTTTATTTTAAGAAAGCAGGCTATGGGGTTGTTTGATTATTAAATGACAGTCAGTTATTTCATAAATTTTTGAATATCTACTTCTGTTAAAACCTTGATACATCACATTCATGTTCTGTGTATGAGGCAACCCCCTACTCTTTTTTTATCTGTTCTTATGAGCTCCACAAGTCTCGTTGTATCATGTAAAACGATTGAACGTCTTGTTTCTATATTCTTTGATGGTTGCAGACTATTTTCCTGCCTGTGGTGGGTCTTGTTGACCCTGATCAATTGAAGCCTGGTGACTTAGTCGGAGTAAACAAAGATAGTTACTTGATCTTGGATACTTTGCCTTCTGAGTATGATTCTCGAGTTAAGGCTATGGAGGTTGATGAGAAACCAACTGAAGACTATAATGACATTGGAGGCCTAGAGAAACAGGTAATTATCCTTTGAATCATTTGATATTGAAAGGTTATCCTCAATTTATCATCATATTTTTTACTGTTATTCTGGATTTTTGTTCTTGATGTGACAGATTCAAGAACTAGTTGAGGCTATTGTGTTGCCTATGACACACCAAGAACGATTTCAAAAATTAGGAGTTCGTCCCCCAAAAGGTGTTCTTTTGTATGGGCCACCTGGAACAGGGAAAACCCTGATGGCCCGTGCATGTGCTGCGCAAACAAATGCTACTTTTCTTAAGCTGGCAGGTCCGCAGCTTGTACAGGTATAATATTTTAAAAATTCTTTATTATTTTTCCTGATGAACTGTGCTGATAGCTAGTAGGAGTTAGAGATCTAATTCTTGAAGCTTTGTTTATTTGTCATTTGACATATTGGAAGGGCCCTCTATTAACTTTTAGAATAGGAGATTTTTGTCAGGTCTTTCTTTCAAGCAGTGTGTTGATTACTGGCTTTAAAAAACTTAAGGTCATTTTCCAAATCTGATGATATTGCACCAACGGGTTATACGAATAACATGAAATTGGAATCACATTTTGAATTCTCCTCCACTTCTCTAATGTAGACATGCACTTCAATGCATCGAAACTATGACACAGTTTAGTTGATTTGGCACATCATTAACCTTATTATATGGATTTAGATGTTCATTGGAGATGGAGCAAAACTTGTTCGTGATGCTTTTCAACTTGCAAAAGAAAAATCTCCTTGCATCATATTTATTGATGAGATTGATGCTATTGGCACAAAGCGATTTGACAGGTGAGAGTTTTCTCTTGAATGTAGTTTAGTGTATTTCAATAGGTTGGAAATCTTGTGAATTGATGTTCTTGATGGTTTTGAGGCATGTGCCATGGCAATATTGTTTCTTACAAGACAAAATTTTATTTATACAGTGAAGTTAGTGGGGACAGAGAGGTGCAGCGGACTATGCTAGAGCTGCTCAATCAGTTGGATGGTTTTAGCAGTGATGATCAGATAAAGGTTCATTCTCTCTCATTATTTTCCTTCTCAGTTTTTTATTGATGATATATGATTCTGTCTTCTGCATCCTCTGAATTCTTTGGAACTATTTGCTCTACACAAGTGGGATGCATTCTATGCTATATTTTTAACAATCAGTGGATGTGATGCACTTTCCATGTTCAAATTCTCTGTTAATATTCAAGCACATCGAAATAAAATAAAATAAAAGCCTGCCATTCAATTTTTACAATTTCTGTAATGTGCTTGGTGATTATCTGAATCTACCTTTTCTCATTTTTAGGTGATAGCGGCAACAAATCGAGCGGATATCCTAGACCCTGCCTTAATGAGGTCTGGTCGCTTAGATCGTAAAATTGAGTTTCCCCATCCTACCGAGGAAGCTCGGGCTAGGATCTTGCAGGTATCTTTTCTCAATTATTTTTTAATTTAATTTCCTTAAGAGGTTTGGATGGGACCATGGGGCTGTGATCATATTGCTTCTATATCATTACCTCGTACCACGACTGTTCATTATCGTTACAAGGGTACCCTTTATTACTACCATTACTGACTTCATCCTTCTTTTGTTGCGTCTTTTAACAGATTCATTCCAGAAAGATGAATGTTCATCCAGATGTCAATTTTGAGGAGCTTGCCCGTTCAACAGATGACTTCAATGGGGCACAACTGAAAGCTGTTTGTGTGGAAGCAGGCATGCTAGCACTCCGACGGGATGCCACTGAGGTCTCTCTCTCTCTCTCTATACGAAATTGGTATAATGATCATCAGTTTCTGGCTTTGATAACCAAAAATGTAGAAGTGACGTCTAAAAAAATTAAGATAGAAAAGATACTATGAACCTTTAGTGGGGTCTTTTTTTCCTTTATATTTGTCTTGCGTTTGTGTTTGGGGATGTTGTGTGTGTGGGTTGGGGGGGGGGGGGGGGGGGGGGAGAGAGATGAAGTAACATTTCTTATCCCAGTGATCAAAAAGTACCCATCCTAGCTTTGTTATATATTTTTCTTTAGGTATATTGATGTCCCCCCTATAATGGACTTCTGAGATACTATGAACAAAATTTGTATACTTTTACGTCAAAGAAACTATGAACTTCTAGTGGGGTTTTTTTTTTCCTTTATATTTGTCTTGCGTTTGTGTTTGGGGATGTTGTGTGTGTGGGTTGGGGGGGGAGGGGGGGAGAAGAGAGAGATGAAGTAACATTTCTTATCCCAGTGATCACAAAGTACCCATCCTAGCTTTGTTATATATTTTTCTTTAGGTATATTGATGTATATTATGGTTTTGCTTTACTGTAAATCTCTCACGAAACGAGAAGAATCAAATCCATTCAAATTGATACGGAATTCTAGTGCAATTCACTTTTATTAAGGTCCCTTAGTCTAGAAATGGTCTGATGAGAACTTCATGTGGGACAAAATGCGTGCAAGACTCTGAGTGAACTGTGTTTAAGAAAATATATTAACAGAGAACAAGTGCTATATCATCTTCTCTTCCCTTTTAGATAAAATTGTACAAGGATATTTACACATGACTTGTTTTTCCCAGGTAAACCATGAAGATTTTAATGAAGGTATTATCCAAGTTCAAGCAAAAAAGAAAGCGAGCTTGAACTACTATGCATAGGATTTTACTTGGCCTCGAGGTTCAAAGTTGAGAGACAAAATAACTATTGGTAAGAAGCGTCAAACTGCAAATGCACTGCTTTGTAGATTCCCAATTGTTCGGAAGTTAAACTGGGAGGCTTTCTACCCCATTCTCCTGCACCATATACTATCCCTGCTTCCGTTTTCCCCGAAAAGGAAAATATTAAAAAACAGAGAATTCAGAAGTTTCAGTAGGCCGACTACATTTTAGTTTACTTGATTCCGTCTGCATCACGTTTAGCTTAAATGTACTTGTGGTTTTTTATGTGAGCTTTCCAGGAAATGAAGAACTATGTTAAACTATTGGAACACTGAAAATGGAATTTGTCATGTGTTTTACGGTTTATTTTCCTGTGGAAAGTATGCTTTGTTTTACATTAACGAAGAGAATTCTCTCCTGTTATATTGGAGTTCTTTCTAAAATATATCATCTGTTCAGATTCCTTTAGAATCATTGGTAGCATTAGTTGGTAATCTTTGGTACTTTATCATCTAAACTGAAGTGGCCTTTGAAGGGGAAAAAAATAAAATAAAATAAAACTTCATATCTTTGGCTCTAGTATTTAAATTTGAACATTTAAATCCTTGGCATTTCAATTTTGTTGCATTATTAGTACAATTGGTGGTTCGGATATATGGTGCTTTTGTTGAGGAAGGGTAACATGGGGTGGTGGTCAGCTCCCGGTTGGATGTGGGTCTTTTTGATCTATATTATCAAAGTAATGCTATTCAGTGCGACTAATGTCAAATATCAATTTAGGTGATTACTACAGGATATTAAATGATAGATTTATTTAAATGCAATGTCTCAAAATTATTTTAATTGAACGTATAAAGTGTGGTCACCTAAACTAGTATTAGATAGCATTATTCTTATTATTTTGATATTTTCTTTTTATTTCATTTTTTGAATTAAGTGTTGGTTTACCTGGCTTATCGGTTATAAAATCAGACATACAAGCCACATGAAATTCAATGGAAAAGAGACTAATACCGTAATAAGGTAATAGGTTGATGGACCAAATGTCTAGATTCAAAGGTTGGATCCTACGTTGCTGAAATTGCAGAAATTTGAGGACTATTGCTGCATTTTTTTACCCATAAATTAGGTTGCAAGTTTTGCCAAAGTGAATTGTTATGATTTGTCGATAACAATAAAGGAATACTTATTCTTTTTTAACCGTTTTTTATGCAGAATGGTTACATGGTCTAACGTATTGTGTTCAAATTTCGTTATTACTCATTTAGAAAAGCGTTAAAGGGGGTCGTGTAACATGGATTGACTTTGAAGTGGATGTGACTATGAATAAAAAGTACGTTCTTGATGTGAAAAATTATTTATAATAAGGGTAAAATATAAATTTTACAAGTTCCCGAATGAGTATAATTTTTGAGGAAAAAAATTAATAAAAAAATAAACAAACTCAGTACTAGTTACCTAAATCCAAACAATTTCTGAAGTATTCATTAATGTCTCTAAAATTTCCGTTTAGGACTTGGGCTCCTTCAAACCACATGCAAAGTAGAGAAAAGTCGGATCAGCGGCATCTTCTTTGTAACCTGAAGCCTGAAAGTGTCGACAATGTCAACAACCTAAATTAGCTTGATCATCTACACCTTTGTCATCACCCGCACCTTCAGCAGAAGGATTTGCCCCCGTGTCCACATCGACTGCTCGTTGAACAGCCCACTATAACCACGCAACATAATAAGAATGATAAACACAAGCACCCAAGGCACATCTCCAAGTGGTAAAAGGGGAGGGTGGAGAAATCTAGCTTTACTTGAGGCTGTTGCGTCAAGAGTTCGAATCTTGAAATATGGATTTGGCTCTTGGGTAAGTGCAAGTGTACAAGCAGCCTTCCACCCTGTACTCTTGGAGGCATAATCTGCGATTTACCTCCCTCACGATACTCCAGAGCAGGGGTGGTGGGGGATCCTTAAGGTTAGGGTTTAACCCTTTTTTTTTTTTTTTTTTTTTTTTTTTTTTTTTTTTTTTAAAAAAAAAAAAAAAAAAAAAAAAAAAAAAAAAAAAAAAAAAAAAAAAAAAAAAAAAAAAAAAAAATTTTTTTTTTTTTTTTTTT